GATATCAGCTGCGAACTCGGAGCCCCGAGATTGCAGCTGTATTGCAGCGACGTGGCTCCGCCTTCTCCAAATTGGCAAGTTTATTTATGAGGTGTATTTATCGGTTGCATGGCACACCTCAATGGATAATTTCAGATAGGGGAGTGCAATTTACCATGCAATTTTGGTGGGCATTTATCCATCTTTTAGGGTCATCTCTAGGACTGAGATCAGCATACCACCCCAGTACCAATGGAGTTTCTGAAAGAGCTAATGCCATGGTAGAAAGGTACTTACGTTCATATGTATCATACCAGCAACAAGAGTGAGCTGAATTATTGCCATTCGCTGAAATAGCATACAACAATGTTGTTCACGAAAGTACAGGCTATAGCCCGTTCTACATAGTTAATGGTATCGAGTTCGTTCCGGTGCCGGACTTACAGTGTAGGAATGATGACCCCATCAGTGTTCAGGCATGGTCACAAAATGTACAAGAATATTGGCTTAACATACGGAAAGTGTTGGAAAAAACAGCAATAGAATATAAAACCCAGGCGAATAAAAAGAGACAAGACCATGAACCCTTCCAAGTTGGTTACCGTGTATATCTCTCCCCAAAGTACATAAAATTAAAATTAAACAGTAGAAAGTTGGGCCCGAAATACGTTGGGCCATTTCAAATAACGAAAATCATTAACCCTGTGACAGTAAGATTAAAGTTGCCATCGATGTTGCGACGTATCCATCCTGTCTTTCATACAAGTCTTCTAAAACCAGTTGGTTACAAAATTGAGTCACAGAACGTAGTTCACGCACCACCTGTAGAGACAGATCGGGTTGAAATAGATAAGATACTTGATTCATAGGTACAAAGAAAGACTCTGCACTAGCAAGATGGAAGGGATATCCCAAGACAGAGGCGTCTTGGGTAAAATCTACAGGTGTTTGTGTGGACAAATTGCTACAGCATTTCCACCTTAAATATCATGATAAACCTGGACCCCAGGAATAACTCAATGTTTTTCTAATTTATTGTTGTCTTACAGGCTGGATCCTGGTAGAGGGGGCCCCATTGCGACTCCATGCCTTCTCCGTTGATTCATGACAGACCTGTTCTGGCTTCACCATTCCTCTTCTGGTGCGCAGTGGGGACCCGTCTGTGCTCCAACCTCGTCGGGCTATTGAGGTGCCTCGTATCTGTGTGGGACTGCTGTCAAACACAACTGTTCCTCGTTGTTTCAATTGTACAGACTAGCCGGCTTTCACCAGAGGCACCGGATGATGATGCAATACAAACCATTGTCGAAAACCCCCAACGAGAGTTGACAGGGATGGAGCTGTTAAATGGAACATGGGTCCAACTGATATGGGTGATGGGTTGGTGGTGGTATGGTGACGTCTATCATACTTATGGGTTATGATATTATAAGGGGTAATAGGTAACTCAAACTAACCTACTAATATGATAATCATTCCGGATATCTGCAAAACAACGATAGCCGGATGATGGCTGGTGCAATTACATAATCATATAATTGTAAACTACTGCATAAATACAGCTTTAAAGTGAGGTTAACTCAGAGCTGACTTTAAACGACATTGCTTGGTTGTTGCTTAATGTTACTGTGTGGAAGGAAAATAAAATCCTCATACTGCTCGGAGTGAGTGATATTTTCATCGCAGTGAGCACTAAAGAATGGTTGAGAGGAAAGTCAGTTCTCTCCCAATTGTTACTTCATTGGAATGTGCAGAGATGGCTGAGGGCACTGATGTTGGATACAATTTGTTCCGGTAATTGGTTTAATAAGCAACAGCTACTGTTGTGATTTAATTATTTGTATTGTGTTTGAATTTTTTCCTGCCTTGTGGTTTCTTTTTCTATCTGGGGAGGGGGGGGTCTTCCTTCACTGCTTTAGTGGTTCCTGGCACTATCCTTTTGGGGTGTACTTCCAAGAGGCAGGATGCAAGCTTGGTACTGATTTTTTTACTGCCTTTCTGGGCGGGCATGTGATCTTTCCTTAAATCTGGATGCTTTCCTTAGGATATCTTGTGAGGTGAGTGAGACAGCTGGCGTCTTTAAGTGATGCAATGGATCTAAGGATTGCTTCTCCTGGGTGTGCCCTTTCTGAAGAGCTTAAATGACCCCGCTGCTAAAGGGTTTCACTTTATGAGCAAGAGTTGGCTGCTGCTATCATTGCATTTTAACTATTTTAATTCCTCAAGGTGTTCTGGCACCCTGCCTGATTTGTAACTCCAGCTTGCAGGTATTTTTAATCTAATGGTTGATATTTAAGGCAGCTTTTTGCAAGCAAAGAAGCTTTTTGTATTTTTGTACAGGTAATCCTTGACTAACAACAGTTCACTTAGTGACCATTCAAAGTAACAATGGCACTGAAAAAAGTGACTTATGACCATTTTTCACACTTACAACTGTTGCAGCATCCCCACAATCACAAGAGACCAGGTGACGAGAAGCGCCCCTCAACGTGAGTAATGTCAAGTTGGCCATGCCCACCCAGTCACATGACCACCCAGCCATGCCTACCCAGCTGGTCACTAGGGCAGAGAACCAGTTGTTAAATTATTTGAATCCCACCACTGGGTAAAATTATCTTTTTCCCCTCCAGACCCAGTTCCTAGTTCATCAAGTGAGTTAAGTTCTTTTGTTTGGGGGGAAATTGTCTACACCGCTCGAACATTCTTCCTAACTTGACCTTGTTGGATAATGTCTTGCCAGCAACAAAAGGCCCTTGTGCATTCCGTAGCCTTTCCTCGCCCTTAGGAATTCACCGCCTTCCTCCCATCACTGTTTGGCAAACTGCGAATGAAAGCAGGTGTAGGCAACTATGGAGATAGCAATAGCAACAGAACTTAGACTTATACACCGCTTCACAGTGCTTTACATCAGTTTAAGCAGTTTCAGTATTAGCCTATTGCCCCCAACAATCTGGGTCCTCATTTTACCCACCTCAGAAGAATGGAAGGCTGAGTCAACCTTGAGACTGGTGAGATTCGAACTGCCAAACTCCGGCAATCAGCAGAATTAGCCTACAGTACTGTATTTTAACCAGTTGGTTCACACATCTTAAGCTTACTAAGCTTTTAAAAAACACAGCTATGAGTGAAGCCTGGCTACCCATTGAACGAATACTTGGAAAGGGAAACTTAATATTATGCCACTTGTAAGAAGAAACACACAGTATCCATTAAATAAAATCTTTTAATTGTGTCCTTAAAGAAACAGGAAGAGGGAGCTGTAGTCTCTTTTGCCTCCTTCTCTGTCTTTCAATGGCATCACTGAAGCGGGGTGGTGGTTTAAAAAGGCAAGAAATAGTAACTTCTCCTAACTGGTTGGAGAATCTGCAGCTGGATTAGAACCATGGGACAACCCAGAGGAAAAGGGAGGAAAAAAAGCTTGATCTACCATTTCTCTAGTGCAACAGACAAGGCAGATTGTGAAAGTAGTTCCCATGTGCTTTCCTGAATTCTACCTTTAAACTGTATAACAGTGGGAGAACTGTCCCAGGAAGCAAATCGGCTGAATCCTTCCAGGACTGTTGACGGAGTTGGGGGTGGAAAAAGTCAAGACGTAAAAGAGATGGCTTCCATGATGTAGTAGACAGATAATCAGCTTAGCCTTTTCGATTCCTTCATACAGACCCCCAAGCGCCCCTTCTGTTTTCTTCTCTTCTTAGCAGCATGAATTAGCCAATAATGTTAGGGGTCCACTTACCCTGTCCTTTTGCATTTTCTACGCCTTCACATATTTCGAGAGATATTGCAAGACAGACTGAGTAACAGCTACCAGGAGTCCTTCTGCACTGAACGATGCAAAGCGGTGAGAACGAACGGTGCTTTTCCTGTATTTTCCTCTCCCGATTTCACCCCCCCTATTATTCGGAAGAGAAGAGCAGAGGAAAGACCCTTTCCACACTAAGGCTTTGTAGCATCTTATGGTACCTTCCAACTTTTGCGGTGGCAAAACTAAAGTCCACCTTTCTTAGCCACGTATGCCGCAGTGGTGTCTTGGTGAGGCCGGGAGACCGTTACAAATCACCAGAGAGGAAAGGACCAGAATCTTTTAAAGCACTATGACATTACCCACACCAACCGTGAGTGAACGTACAGGGTATCACCTCTTCTTGTGGGTGCAAACCTTCCTGTTACTTAGGGGGGCTCTGATCCGGTGGAAGTCAAATTACTTCATGTCCTCTTTTTGTTGTTGTTTTTAAAGGAACTTTAGGAAGGAGAGTTTGTTATTTAGGACTGCTTCCCTAACTACCTCAGCCCTTTCTCATCTATAGTCTCCCAACTTAAAGGAGTAGATTTGAGGGGCGGGAGACAGCCGAGCCCAGGGCCATCAATCCCTTAGATCCGGCAGGAGAAAAGTAGCTTTGACAGAAGCTCATCCCGTATTCTGGTCCTTCCTAGGGCGATATATAAACCGGCGGCGGGGAAAAATGGGGATTGCGTCACCCCAGCCGCAGCTGTGGCGATATATAAGGCGGGCCGGCTTCAAAGCTCTCCCACCGGCTCCCCCCTTTTTTTTGGTGGGGGGGCTAAGCGGCGGGAGGGAAGGAGAGGCCCCCAAACGAAGGGAGGGGAAGTGTCGCAGCCGGGCTGCGATGAGCTTCAGCGGGCCGGCCTTCTTTCCCCTTCGGCCGGGCCGAAGAACTTTGGGTTTTCAAGCGGGCCGCCCTTCGCAGAGGGCTAACCGGCGACGGGAGGGGGGGGGGAAGGGCCCTCCGGCTCGGCTCCCCTCGACAAGGCCGAGCGGTCAAGGCTGACCGGGCTCTTCAGCTAGGGAAGCGGAGCCGCGCATGCGTGGCGCTCTCCTCGGCGGCGGCGGCGGCGCCCTGCCTGCGGCTCGAAAGTTGCCTTGCTTGAATCTTCGCGGGTGGGGGCGGCGAGTGAGAAGGAGGGCGGGGGGGGCGCGCGGCGGGAAAGGGGTTTTATTTCTTTATTTCTTTATTTATTTTAAAAAAGAGGCGTCCGCTGTTCACCGGGAGGAAGGAGGAATGTGGGCAGTTCAGCTCCGAGCGGGCGCGGGGATTTTGGTGTTCCCGGTGATGATCGCTGTGGTCTCCTGTGCGAAGAGGTGAGGATGGACGCCTGGGCGCAGGTGTGGGGGGGGGGGGCGGGTATCCGCGGTGTAGGGGAGCGTGTTTGGTCGGTCTGTCTGTCTCCCCACACCCCACACACACACACCCCGTGTCCCTCCTTGTTGCTGCAGGACGCCTTCCTTCCAGAGCCCCCTCCTTCATTTCCTTCCCCCCCCCCCCCACAAACCCCCCCCCCCCCCCCCCCCCGGGGGCCGGAGAAATAGATTTTTGTGTGACCCTGGAATGAGAGAGAGGGGGGGGGAGATGTCTCCCTCCTCCGTCCTGAATCACTTTCTTTTCTGCCTTGTTTAGCGTGAACGAGCCCAGCAACATATCCTACGTGAAGGATACGGTGGACCGCTTGCTCAAAGGATACGACATTCGCTTAAGGCCGGATTTTGGAGGTAATTTCCACCACCACCACCCCATTTGTCTATAACGGGAGACCAAGTGGCGGGGCTGCCTTCCATTCCGAGGCAGAAGGCTGGGAAGGAGGCTAATCTGCCCGCCTTGCTAAGTAGACCACCCGGTCTCGGGAGTAGGAGGGAAAAAGCCTCCTCCAAGTCGGACGCATCTATACGTGTAGAGGTGCCTGTCATCTATGTGGTGGGACACGGTTGTTTGGCAACCACTGGGAAGAGTGGTTTTGCCCTTGTTTTCTTCCGGGATATTTTTAATTACTTAATCTAGTTTACAAGCTTGTCCAGAGAGGATTCTGCTTAGCTTTGTTAAACCAGCTAAGATTTGGCTGAGGGGCTGCTGCAAACTATCCCAAATATTATTATTTTCGTTTCTCCCTCTCTTTCTTTCAAACACACACACACACACACACACACAGAGACACACACAGAGACACACACACGTGTGTGTGTCTGTGTCTGTGTGTAAGTTTACAACCACACGTTTGACAAAGCTTGGCTTTGTTGCCAGTGTTCATACCAGCAGTCGGATTTATTAGCTTTTGGCTTTCACAAAAGTCTTAAACAAATCAACCACTGCTCCCTGAGTGCAACATATGGGCAGAAGAATGCCATTTCTCCCCCTCTCTTCCCCTCGTCTCCCCCTCCCCCTCCCTCTCTAAACAACAGCAACAACCTGGAAATGAAGATTCCAATTCATTTCCTTAGCCCGGTCCTTAAAAAACCATAAATCACAACAAATCACCCATCTCGGTTTCCAGGTTCTCCTGTTGATGTTGGGATGAGAATAGAGGTTGCCAGTATAGACATGGTCTCTGAAGTCAACATGGTGAGTACTTCTTTGAACAAGGGAAGGATGAGCTAGAGGGGCGAGGGAGAGCCAATGGCAGAAAGCACCCCCAAATTGAAAGTTTCAGGGTGTTTTTTTTTTTTTTTTGAGTGCTGAAGAAATCCATTCTATGTGAGAGAGGAGGTGGGGAGGAGGTAGCTTGGGTGCTGTCAACGGGCAGAAGAGTGCCATCTGCATCTACTGCGGCTCGGTAAAGGGTGTTTCAGCACGATGGACAGCGACCAACTCGCATTCATGCTTTTTTGGAATCGGCCAGGTATATTTGCAATGGCTAGAAATCATGGTACAATAGCAAGATGAAAGTCTAAGTAATGCATAGGGAAATGGGAAAAAAGAGGAGGGGGCACGACTGTCCTATGGTTGGGTAGGTAATAGCTCTCTGTACGTTATTCCTACCGCTACAGCCTTTGCAGTAACCTAGTTAATAACCAGATAAGATTTAGAGTGAGATGGAGATGTTAAGAATTCGTATGAATTTTATTTCCGTTGTAAGGCTGGGCTTGTATGTTTTAGATAATTAATTCCTGGCATCATTCACCGAGAGGCTAAGTCTTGAATGTGTATTTTGTATAATAGATCTACTTGCTTAGCAATTGCATTGCTGCCAGTTACTGAACTCTGTTGACCTCTTCCGCTCCCAACTTCTGCATGTCTGTGTTTTGACTGCCTCTTATGCAGAGGCAGTAATTGAGAACTGCTTAGGCTGAATATCTGTGCTAGGAAAAGGAACTTCCCCAAGGGGATTTAAAATAAGGTCAAGAATTAAACATGACATCTTGCACGTTCTTCAAGATACCAGACTTGACATTTCTCCTTAGTTCTAGGTTTGTTCTCTCCTTGATTAGTTTCCATCCATTGCTTCTTGTCTCACGTTCTGGGGCTTTGGAAAATAGGTGGACCTTCTCTTTTCCGTGGCAACGCCTCAAATATTGGAACACTGCTATAATGGTCCTTCTTTTCACTAGAATGTACAGTAGTACATTTTCACTAGAATCTACAGTACTTTCTGCAACCATACTTCATATGTTTTAGTCGTTAGCCCCCTAATAATCTTCATTGCTCTTCTCTGCACTCTTTTCAAACTTTCAACATCTTTTTTATATTATGGTGACCAAAACTGAATGCAGTATTCCAAGTATGGTGTTACCAAGGTCTTATAAAGCAGCACTAATACTTCATGTGATCATGATTTCCTCCCTTCATTAATGCATCCTAGTATTGCATTGGCAGGTGAAGAACTGGGGCTCCAAGATCTTTCTCACAGTTAACTGTTATTGTGCCATGTTTCACCTAATCTATGCCTGTACATTTGGTTTTTCTTGCCTGAGTGTAAAAATATAATTTTCTTTACATTGAATTTCATTTTGTTAGATTGGGCCCAGTGTTCAAGTCTGTCGAGATCCATCTGGATCTTGAACTTATCATCTATGGTGTTGGCAATTCCTGCCAATTTAGTATCATCCGCACATTTGGTAAGTTCCCATTCTATTCCCTCATGTAAGTCCCCCTTCTATTTCCTCATCTAAGTCATTTATGAAGATATTGAAGAGTCCTGGGCCTAGGACAGAACCTTGTGGTACCCTACTGCGTACTTCCCTCCATGTAGATATAGTACCATTATAACTATACAAAGCTATTAAATAAAATAAAACTGGATTTGGAAAAATGGAAAAAATTGCAATTATCAATGTTAGGAAGAATAGCGACTGGAGTAATTCTACTAACCTATTCCTGCCAGCTTGGTGTCATTGGCAAATTCGATGAGTTCCCCTTCTATTCCCTCCTCTAAATTATTTATGAAGATATTGAAAAGTACTGGGCCTAAGATGGAGCCTTGTAGTACCCCACTGCCTACTTCTCTCTATGTGGATATAGTACCATTAAGGATTACACATTGAGTATCAAATCCATGTATCTGCCATTCTTCAATGGAAGAAGAAGGTGGGGGGGAGTTGGTACAAGTAATCCTTTTTGATGTAACCTATCAATATAAGATTTGCACATGATATACAACTGGATATACAACCTTTTTGATGTAACCTATCAATATAAGATTTGCACATGATATACAACTGGAGGACTGGAGTCAGATGTCTAGAAACTTGTCACCTCTTGAAGAGATAACAAGATGAGAAGGGAGCATAAAAATTCCGGCTCTGGAAGATACCCCTGGGAACTCTTCTAAGATACATTCCCAGAGAAGGGGAGGGATGAATTAACATGTTGGTTCTTTGTTTGACTAAATCCACATCTAAATAAGGGGAAGGGTTCTAACTTCCTTTATCTATTACTGTATCCCTGGAAACATCTTAGACTCTGCTTTGACTAGTGCTGGGATTCACTCCCTTTCAATAAAGGATCCCCTTTAAAATATCTAGCTTTCAGAAGTTCATTCTTTTTGGTTGAAGGGAAAAAGTCCAATGCTTACATTGAGTGTGCTTAGCAAATTAAAATCCATCAGGCGGTGATGTTGTCTATTCCACATTTTTCTAGCTTACCAAGAAGTAGGTTATTGTCTACTTTGTCAAATGCCTTACTGAAATCTAAGTATCCTATGTCCACAGCATTTTGTTAGTTTACTAATTTAGTCTCTTTATCAAAGAATGAAATAAGATTAATTTGGCATGATCTCTTTTGAACAAACCCATGCTGGCTACTAGTTACAACTTTATTTGCTTCTGGTTGTTCGCAGAGATGTTTTCTTAATATATTTTCCAGGATTTTCCCAGTTTAACCAATGTTAAACTCATTGGTCTATAATTTCCTGGTTATGTTTTTTCCCCCTTCTTGAGGATGGGAACCCCATCAGCCCTTTCCCAATCCTCAAGTACTTCCCAGGTGCACTAAGATTTTTTTACAAACAGAAGTATACATAAAATAAAATAAAAAATTAAAGTAAAGTAAAATAAATAAATGACATAGTATCAAAATAAATGATAAAGTATCAAAACTGCAGTAAGGAAATAAGGCTACTGAGAACAAAAGCATCCCACCAGCACATCCTTGGTGGATTAAACTAGCTCCCCTTCCAAAGGTTTTATAAAAATCAAATTTTAATGGCACTCCTAAAATCCAGCTAAGTGAGGACTAGGCTGATCTCATGCAATAAACTATTCCAAAGAAGTAAGGCTGCATCATTTATTTATTTGCCATTTTACCTTTATGCTATGCTCCAATCAAATAGGACTCTTGACAATTTATAAGATACGTTGACCTGTCCCATCCAGTTAGGCAGGGAGGGTATAGAGTGGACCCTGACAGTTAAAGAATTTTGATTGATTTGGAGTTCAGAAAGAGAACTTTCTCTTTCACCCTTTTTAATGTTTTATTAGATGTTTATTTTTAAATATACATCAATATCAATACATGAACAGTGTGGCCCCTGAGTATAATTCATTTTGATACAAACATCAATAATGATAATCATAATAGTTGTTATATTTATCAAACTTATATAATCCTAATGTTAATATTCATGGCTTTTAAGTAGTTATTCAATATTTCAATATTGAGGGCGGAGGACGGAGCTGGCGTTGTGATGATACGGCATACGATCTTGGAGGTCTGAGATCGCTGCTGATATCTTTGCTCCTGGACGGTCCTAACGGATCTAAACCGTCCCGAAGAGACAGTGAAAGTGAAGAGCGCATCCTGCCGATCCCAGGGATACTGCAAAGTCCCTGGTAGATCCAGCAGAAGCTCTTCTTGCCAGCGGCAAAGAGGCAGCCATTAAAGCTGCTGAAGTTGGGACAGCTCCGAAACGAAAGAGAACGGAAAGAGAGAGTGTGCCGGTTTGGTGAGAACTTTTTTTTTACTCTAAGATCTGAAAGGACACCCTAAGTGAAAGAAAGAATCTGTAAAAGTTTTGACAGAAGTGATTAAGCGGTGATTTTAAACAGGAATGTCAAAGTAATGTTTGTTTGTTTTTTCTCATTGCTGGATTTTTTATATACGATCTTGTATTTTGAAACTGGACTGTTTTTTTCATTTGTATCTATTTTTTTTCTTCTCCTTTTTGACTTTGTAATATTTTAGGCTAGAGGCTCCCTTTAGTTAATTCATTTTTAAAAAAATATCTTTTTTTTCCTTTTTATCAACTCTCATTATATTCTGCTTGGAAAAGGAGGGGGAAAGTGAGAGCAAAGAAACTTTATAACACTGCCAACTAGAGGCTTGAAAATATTCTATTTCCCTGTGACCAGACAAAGCTGACAAAGAAAGAACTGAGACTCTTTTTCAAGGACATTGCTATTTGATAAGATAGAGGGAAGAGCATGAGAGAGTATTATTGCAGGTGCTCTTCTGGGTTTCTATCAACAGCTGGAGTCTGGTGTTGAAATGTAGGGGGGGGGAAAGGTGATAAGTTTTTGGAGAACAGAGCTATAATAAGAGCCTTGGATAATTAAATAAAGTGCAGTGTGCCCTTTTTACTTTTCCTAAGTTGTGCTATCCCTCCTCACCAGCTTTATTGCATTTTTTTAAATCTTTTTTTTTTAAATAACTGTTTGGGTTTCTGGCTTTGTTGGAGCTTGCCTTTGTTTTTCTCTCTTTTTTCTTTTGGAAGTCCAATCTCTACATTTGCTTTTTATTTTAAAGGGAAAGCCTTAAAAGCCTTTTGTTTTCCCCTTTCCTGGTACTTTTGTTTTTTCAGCTACTTTTTTGGTTTATTTTTATGCATTTTTTACCTTTCAATTGGATTAAGGTGTTGAAGAACCTGAAGAATTTTTCCTTTTTCTTTTTTCTCTTTTTTTCTTTTTTTTAAAGCTCTTTTTCTTTATCTTATTTTTGATTGGATTAAGGTATACAAGAACCTGAAGAAATTTTGTCCTCTCTTTTTTTCTCTTCTTTTTCCTTTTTTAATTATTATTACTGGTCTTTTTTTTACTATTTTTATTTTGAACTACAATTGGTTATTTCACAATTGGATTAGGGTTTAGAAGAACCTGAAGATTTTGAATTGCCTAAAATGAGTAGGAAAT